GTGACAGAAGTTATTTGTTTATAGCCATGTTGGTGTTTGAAGTCATCTCATTAAGGTTTTGACTTGCATTTCTTTAATGACTGATGAATGAAGTTAAACATCTGTGTTTTTGGCTATTTGTTTTTTTTATTTTTGGAGAAATATCTATCTAAATCTGTTGCCCACTTTACATATTGGTTGTGTTCTTGCTGTAGTTGTGGCCTTTTTAATACACACACATAGAATGTAAATCCTTTATCAGGTATATAACCTGTAAACATTTTCTCATTCCATCACTTTGTTGGTGCTGTTCATTAAAACACAGACATTTTATTTTGATGAAGTCTAGTATATTTGTCTTATTACTTGTATGCACTTTTGGTATCATCTAAGAAGACTTTGATGAATCCATATTTACAAAAAATTATTTTTATATATTGTGCTAAAAGTATTACAGTTTTAGCCCTTAAATCCATTTTGAGTTGGTTTTGTGTGTAGTGAGAGAAGCAGCGCTGTGTTCTTTTGCCTGTGGATGTCTAGTTGTCGGAGTACCATTTGTTGAAAATATTTTTCTTTTTCCACTGAATCGTCTTGGGATCCTTGTTGAAAATCTACTGAACATAACTGTGGGGTTTATTTTTGTGCTCTATTCTGTTGAATTATGTCCCTGTGTATAATAGCACCTGATAGTTTTGCTTGCTTGAACTTAGTGGTAATTTTTGAAATCCGGAAGTACATGTTTTTTGGTGTTTTTAAAAATTGTTTTGATTATTCGCAGGTGGTTTTTTGGTTTGGTTTTTTTTTCTTCTTCTTCTTTCATTTCCACATAAGTTTTAGAATCAGTTTACCAATCATTCCCACCTCCTTCAAAAAAAAAGCCCAACTGGGACTTTGCTAGAGAATGCAGTCAGCCTGTGGGTAAATCTGAGGAGTATTACAATTTTAAAAGTGTTCAGTAATATGATATGTGCACATGGCGTGTTACTCCGTTGTTTAGATTTTCCTTAGTAGCCTCAGCATTTTGCAGTATTTAAGAGTGCAGGCCTTGCACTTTTTGTTAAAATTCTTAGGTATTTTATTCTTTGTAAGGCTATTCTAATGGGTATTCTTTTCATTTTGATTATTCATTTATAATGTATAGAACTATAGTTGCTACTGCTTCTATATTTAGCATGTATTGGACTACCTTCTGACTCATTTTTAGGTCTTACTTTTTTTAGTGTATCCCTTATAATTTTCCTACATAGAAAATTAGATACCTGAAAATAATTTCACTTCTTTCTTTCCCATCTAAATTCCATTTATTCATTTGCCTAATTGTCATTATTAGCGCCTTTAGTACAATGTCAGAGTGGCAAGAGTTGCCTTCTTGTCTTATTCCTGACTGTGGAGGGAAAGCATTTAGTCCTTCACAAGCTATGTAGCTATGGTTTTTTTTTTTTTTTTTTTTTAACTTTTATCAGTACCAGGGATCGAACTCACGACTACCTGCTTGCAAGGCAGGTGCTTATGCCGCTGAGCTAAATCCCCAACCCCCTTAAGATTTTTTTTTCCCCCAGTACCAGGGATTGAACTCACGACCATGAGCTTGCAAGGCAAGTGCTTATGCTGCTGAGCTAAATCCCCAGCCCGTGGCTATGGTTTTTTAAAAAACAAACGTCTAGGGTATGTGTCACTGAGGGTTAAACCACTGAGCTCTACCACTGAGTGGTACCTTTCTCAGCCCTTTTTAATATTGTGATAAGATTGTTGCTAAGTTGCCCAGGCTGGCCCTAAATTACAGTCCCCTTGCCCTAGCCTCCTAGATACAGTAGTTGGGATTACAGGTGTGCACCATCATGCTTGGTTAAACACTTAGTTGTTGTTGTTTTTTAAATATAAAATAATGTATGGTTGGTAATGTACCTCAGTAATAGAGTGCCTACCAAGTATGTGAATTCCTAGTACTGCAAAAAACAAAACAAAGGCTGGGCATAGTGGCATAAGTCTAATTCCAGCACTCTGGAGTCTGAGGCAGGTGGATTATTGCATGTTCAGGGCCAGTTGGGGCTACATAGTGAGAGCCTATCTCAATCAAAAAACCAAAAACCAAAAAACTCAAAATAAACCTATGTGTTCTCAAATTCTCACTGTCCTTCAGTCTAGGTTTTGGTGTTAATAAAACTCTGGAGTGTCATGGTTGACCCCCTTACTCTTCTAGGGGGTCGAAAAAGAGGAAGTCTCCTATCACAGTATTGTGTAGTGATTTATCATATTATTTTCATCATATACTCTTCCTGAAGAAACCTTTGGTCAGCATTTCATAATGAGTAATATCTACATTAATTTTGGGATGACTAGAAAGAGCTATGTGATATACACATTCCAGGGAAAGAAAACAATACATACTAAGGCACTAAATCAGGAAGAAGCTTGGCTTCCTGAACAGTCAGAGAAGAGGGCAGTGTTTGTTAGCATGTAATAAAGATGAGAGGCAGTTTAGTTTTTATGGGTCACCATAAGGAGTTTTGTTTTTATTCTCCATGTAGTAAGAATTTGTGTACGGGCTTGAATTCAGAGCATTCTTGTTGTATGTCTTGCTCATCTGTTTTATTTTGAGATAAGGTCTTGCAAAGTTGGTCATGCTGGGCTTGAACTTGTGATCTTCCTGCCATAGTCCTCAGAAGGGGTTGTGATTACAGGTATGCCACCAAACGTGGACTAATTTATGTGCTTAAAAGACAAAGACACAAAATCCAAGGTTCCCTGTGTCAAGTACTGTGTGATTTCAGGAGATGAGAAGTACAGAGATTAGAATTCAACTTGACTTACGAAAGATAAGTAAAAATTAGGTAAACAGACCAGAGTACATTGTGGTAGCAATAAATAGTGCCAGCTTTGAATTGGAAGTTTTGTTGTTGAGAATTGACTCTGTCTCTTCATAGCTCTAAATTTACTAACCTTCTTTATCTCAATCGTTTGTGCCTTTTCTATACTTTGGTTGCTAAAAAGAGTAAATTAAATGAAAACTACCTGTACATGTGCTCTGTGGGTGGTGAAGTTCAGTGTAGAATACTTTTTTTTTTTTTTTTAAATTGGTACCAGGGATCGAACTCAAGGCTGTCTGCTTGCAAGGCAGGCACTTATGCCGCTGAGTTAAATCCCCAGCCCATAGAATATTTATTTATTCAGCAAAAAAGTGGCTGGCTGTGTGATAGTATGTATGGGCTGTGGGAGTGGTTTGAAAATAAATCAGACCTGCATTCTGCTCCTGAGAGAGAAGATACAGTCTAATAACATCTAAAATCCAAAATTAAATATGATGTAACAGGTCACAGAAAAGTGCCATTGGGGTTCAAAGAAAGGAGAATGTGCTTCCTACAGAGGGGATCAGGATCTTCTTGAGCAGCAGCGTGCGTAGGGGTGGGGTGGGGTGGGGAGTGCTTTAGGAAGAAGCGAGAGCTCTTGCACTGGCAGCTAGGATAGTGTAGTCAGTCCTTCAGTGGAAAATGGAGAGGAGGGTGTTCTCAGGAGACAAACCTGTGGTAGTAAAGGCACGGAAGCCGTGGGCAGCGCCTTGATGGGAGGTTAAGGTCAGTCCATTCACTGGGAATATCATCAACAGAGTACTTAATTGTTCAGATTGAGCGTCTACAGTTGTCAGGTGGGAGCTAGAAGTCCACCCTGTGAAACTGCAGTGATTGCAGCTTAGCTGGGGAAAGTGGCTTATCTGATTATTTTTATTAATGAGATAGGAACAAAATGGGGTTCATGGGATGAAGACTGTCTCTAGCAGCCAGTATAATAAGGAAAGAACCTCGTAGAAATGGTAGACTTTGTGCAGAGGCATAAGAGTTTTTTAACAGATAAAGGAAGTGAAGAAACAAATGGAAACTAAAGATTCTAGGTTTGGGCATTTTGGGATGACTGGACAAGGGCTTTGTATGCGTGCCAAGGCAAAAAGTTTTGGTAGAGGGGAAATCCCAATAATTTTTCAGGTTGCAACATGGAGAGAAAGAATGAGTGGAGATTTGAGGGGGGAACCTGGTAAAGACACTATTTTATTAGACCAGGTAAGTGAAAACACAGGCTTAAAGTGGAACAGTAGGTATTGCAGAGACAGTGAAAAGCTGGAGAGATGCTCATGGTGTAGAGTTGGCAGGACTTGGCGGTCATTTGGAGGTAGGAAAAGCAAAGATGTTACTTGGTGGGTGTCATTGCTTGAGAAAAGGGTCTGTCTAAGGAGAAGAGGTGGATTAGGAAAGGAAATCTTAATATTTTAGCTGCACTGTTCTAAAGGTACATAGGTCATAGTACCATAGGGAGGATGATGGAGAGGAAGAACATTTAGGTGATCATATAAGCTTTATACATAAGAATATGTTAAAGTACTGTGAGAGGTGGGAACAGTCTTGAAAGTAATCAGGAAAAAGTAGTAGGTAGTGGAAGCACACTTGTATTTGAGGCAGTACTGGCTCAACCTCCTGAGTGCTGGGATTATAGGCATGCACTATTGTACCTGGCTGGTTAGAAAAATTTTAAGAGTGTACTCATCATAGCAATCAAAGACATGAATATTTTCTCTTTCTTTCTTTCTTTCTTTCTTTCTGTCTTTTTCTTTTCTTTTTTTTTTTTTTTTTTTTTTTGTCTTTGTCGTTTTTTATCGGTAGCAGGGATCGAACTCACGACTGCCTGCTTGCAAGGCAGGCGCTTATGCCGCTGGGCTAAATCCCCATCCCCTATTTATTTATTTATTGAGCCAGAGTCTCGCTATGTAGTTTGGACTGGCCTTGAACTCACTGTGTAGCCCAGGCTAGTCTCGAACTGGGGCAATCCTATTTCCTCAGCCTCCCAAGTGCTGGTATACAGGCATGTGCCACCATGCCTCGCTGTTCTTGTTTTTTTGAAAGATTGTTGGCTTTCGTAATTTCAGTGAGGGTTTAAGCCCCAGGTTATTGTTGTTTGAGGAGATTATGGGAGATGAGAATTTGGTTGTAATTGAAGGAAGAAATAAAGATACAGTATCAAGTACCATAACATGCTCATTTTGTTTTGCTTTACTTTAAAGACTTAGAGTTATTGCTTGAGGAAAGTAGAAATGGATAGTAAAGGGTTAAAGTTCCAAGTAGTGGAATAAACCAGTTATACCGAAGGAGTCTAGTTGAGTGCCTTTCAGAAGACTTTAAGATCTAATTTAAAGTAGCTTCTGATCCCACAGTCCTGGGTGAGGGCCTGCGTTGCAGCGTTTTGACAGACTTGCAGGTAGCGCTGTGCTGTTGGTCTGGACAGTAGTCTGTGAGGTGAGATTCTGGAGAGGATGGGATCAAAATCACAGAGGTGTATGCGAGGTGGAGGAACACCTGTAAGGTAAGGTGGACAGTAAGGCAGATGAAAATACAAAATTTGAATGTAAGAGAATGCAAAATTCCTGATGGTCCTGCAAATGGGGCTGTGAGCTAAGTTGGCCTATCCCATAAGCAGGGAAGTAAAACGAGTAAATTTGGGTCATATAATGATCATTGAACAGGGGGGAACAATTTTTTAAAAGCCGAAGTGACCTAACAGAGAGGTGGTGAGGTGAAATGGAACAATGGCCTTGAGAATGGAAGAGGCTAAATAACAGTTTCCCAAGGATGTCAGTATTGTACTTCATGGAACCATGGCAAAAGGAATTTTGTACATGTGATTTACATGAAAGATTTTGAGATGGAGAGCTTACCCTAGATTATCCAGTAGGTCTTCATGGGAAGGATCTTCATAGGGAGGACAGATGTAAGGTCATGTCAGAGAACACCGAGTGATCACTGAAGGGTGTGTCATGGTGGAGACAAGACTAAGCTAGTGGATAGCCTGTTGAAGATGGGAAAGGGAAGAGACTGCAGCATGAATTATACTATCACATGTGCATTTCTTTTTTTTAATTGGTACCGGGGATCGAACTCACGACTGCCTGCTTGCAAGGCAGGCGCTTATGCCACTGAGCTAAATCCCCCAGCCCCAGACATGTGCATTTTTTTTAAAGCTCACTGAGAGTGATTTTGATCTTTTGTCTCTAGGATTGAAAGATAATTTGCAGCAGTAGGAAATATTAAAGGGTATGAATACATGCGAATGTAGACTTGAATCAAAATGAGACCATTGGGCATCAGGAAACTGAGATGATTGCTAGTCTGGGTGAATGTCCAGAGAGTAGTGAAATTAGAAATGGAGAACAATAAGGAGTAGCTGTTAGAGTAGAGGAAGATTTATCCACTTTTCATGTTTTAATTTGAGACCCTGTTGTCCATGATGGAAACTGGATTGATTGATTGATTGATGGCTGGGGATTGAATGCAGGGCTTTCATATTGAGCCACATTGCTAGCCCTTTTAGGTTACTAAGGGTCTCTCTCTACATTACTGAGTGCCCAGACTGGGCTTGAACTTGAAATTCCTCTGCTTCAACTTCTCGGGGTACTGTATGAATCACATACCAGTATGGCTTAGATAGGGTAGAATAAAGTTTAAAATAAAGAGATGCATTTAAGAGGCCCACAGTGCTGTTACATACCGTTTGTTTGCTAATAGGGCTGTTGTAACCATGTTACATGGTAGACCTTAGTAACACAGTTTTATGTACAAAGGCAGTGAAGGAGATGCTTGGGAGAAACGGGTCTTTGAAAAGATAATACCACCTTATGTTTTGTAGTTCTTTTAATTTGATAAGCAGTTTCATGTCTTTTAAAGGATATCAACAGTGATTCTTGAAATGGACACAACAGCTGTTGGAATGTGGTCTAAGAGGGGTAGAAAATTTAAGCTAAAAAGTGCTGTGTCTATTGTATTGAATAGCACGTGTAGAATATTTTAAGCATTCCAGAAAATTCTATTGGATGACGTTCTTCAGTAGTATTTTCTGTAATGAGAGGTTGGATTTTATAATAGAAAACCAAAAATTTGCACTTAGGACTTAGCAATTTTGGGATTAAATCTGATATAAAGGTAAATCGGTTGAGGTTCTAGAAGGAAATGGAATACAAGTTAGGTGGCTCAAGAGACTTTCATGAAGAAACTACAAAGGTTGGGAGGATTATAGGAACTCAGCCGGGATGTTTGTCTAAAGAGATGAGAGAAATAGTGTGCTGTTGGAGTACGGGAGTGCTCTGGAGAGGAGGGGCCTGACGAGAGCCAGGGTGGTGGAGGACGCAGCTCCGTGCCAGGGCTTGCGTTTGCTCCTTAGGTGTAGTTCCCAGAAGACCTGGGCTCCCGCACTGGAATGAGCAGAAAACCATGCTTTCTGCCCAGCAGACACAAACTAGCCTAAGTAACACTGAACAGTAGTAGTAGTGTTTTAACAGTGGTTGTACTTTTGAGTTGTGTGCATGTAGGAAAAACCTTTTAGAAACAGAGGTAGTCTCTGAATGGGTCCTATAATTTCTTAAAAACATAGAAGAGAAGCAAGAAATAGCTTAATATGTGCTCACTGGACTTAATAATAATGTTAAACATATTAGAAAAACTGATTTTTTTTTTTTTTTTTTAAGAGACAAGGTCTCACTGTGTAGTCTGGGTTGGCTAATAACAATGATCTTGCTACTTCAGACTCCCCAGTGCTGTGATTTAGAAAAACATTTTAGAAAGAATTTTATCTCTTAAGGCAGTTGGACTTCATACCTGCCCTCATCACATTCTTTTATTAAAACATTATCATGATATAATTTGTTGTAAAGTTGCATAGACTCTTTGCAACTTTGTATGGCTAACGTATTAAATCATGAGTAAAAATGTCTTTTTTGGGGGGAGGACAGGGTTTCCCTATGTAGTCCAGATTGGCTTCCAGTTTGCGGTGATTCTCCTGAGTGCTGGGATTACAGACATGTGCCACTGTACTTGGCAAAAAATGTCCTAATTTTGAGTTTCATTTTTATACTTAATTTTAGGTTCCCAAATCATGTTTGTTGTAAATACTCAACATATTATTGGGATATATTAGGACATTTGAAATGTCTGAAAGAATGCAGGCTTATTAAGACATAAATATGTTAAAGAAATAGAGGAGTTGAAGAGGAATGGAGGATGAATATAGAAGAATTTATTAGATATAGCAATCAAATACCATAAAAATAGCATTTCTGAAATAGCATTTTTTACAGAATGAAACATTTCTAAGTCTTGACTGATTGCTTCTTACTTAGATTTTGCTAGGGATACTTAATAAGCTGGAGAAAGTAATTTGTTACCATTTTCCCTACCATCTTTGTATCTTCTTTCTTAAGGAAGATTTACTCATCATGCTTCTCTAGGAAATAGAGTTGGTGTGCCCGTGTGAAACTGATAACCAGTTGTGCCAGGGTAGGAGAGTTCATTGGGAAAAGCTGCTTCCTAAGCTGCTGTGCTTTGTGAGATGACAGTCTGTGCTTTTTCCTGCTGCTCGAGAGCCGACTGGGGACACAAACCTGAGTCAGAATAGAATTCTAAGCTCAGCAGAGTCTGAAGGGAGAGCAAATTAAAAATGTTGCCAGGTGTTTCCTATTATAAGGCTTTTCTTTCCTAAAGTTGTCACAAGTTATTTTATAATCAACTTATTACTTCATATTTAGCCAAACATTGCCTGCCTTTTCCATGAGTAAAATTTAAGCTAATCAATTGGTAATTTTAATGGTTGATATATATATGAATATTTAATGATAAAAGTTAGATTAGAATTAGAATGTTTTCTAAACTAGTGTTTCTGTTAGTCTAAAGTATTTCTTTTAATGTAAAGTACGGAGTTTGTATGAAACAGCGGCTCCTTGTTGACAATATTTGGCTTTGTACATAATTGTTCTTGAAAGAATGAGGAAGAACTTGAATTTGCATTTTAGTTTTTCCTGCTTTTTCCCCCCTGCTTTTGGATTTTTAAAAAATTGTTTGTTTTTTAAGATAGGATCAGGCCAGGTGTAGTCCAAGGTAGCCTTGAATTTGCTGAGACCTTCCTGCCTCAGCCTCCTGAGAACTGGGATTATATGCATGTATCATCATGCTCAGCATCATTTTGCTTTTTGAAGTCAGGGCCTTGGAACTGAGCTTTAAAAAATTTGTTTCTCCAGCCTCTTTTCAATTTATTTTTGATTGATTATTGTTTTTGAGAAAGAACCTCAGTAAATTCTTGAGTTGCCCAGCCTCCCAGAATGCTGTGATTATAGACATACACCACCACGCTCAGTTTTTGAAACAGTTTTTTAAAAGTGAATTGTACCATCATGATGAAGTAGCTCTGAGTTTTAGGGTTTTTGTAACTTTACTGAACTAGGACCCTGAAGTCCGCAGTTTTAGTTTACACTGTACTGTTATTTGTGGTTTATCCCTTTATGGAGTTATGTTTACTTTACCTCTATGTGACTTTCCCTTCTGAAAAATTGTAATTATAATATTTAGCAATTTTTATATTCTACTGTGAGAGTCAGTTATCAAGTACTTTGAAGATTTAGTTTTATGCACACACGTATATTTGTACGTAACTTTTTTGCTATTGTTCATGGAAAGACTGCTAGTAGAGCTTCAGCTTGAGAATAATTATATGGCTGTTACTTCATTATACTTTCTGTATGAAGTTAGCCCCATGGTTAGATTTTTTTCTTTAGTGGTGTGAGGGGTCGAACCCAGGGCCTTGTGCATGCAGGGTAAGAATTCTTAGTACTGAGCCACATCCCCAGCCTCGTAACATATTTTGTCTGAGTGAGATGGTTCTGCTTGTGTGTATTTTAATCAATACATGCAGACTTTTTTTTTAAACTGTCTTTTTGAAGTGAATCTTGGCTGTTTTTATTTATTGCTTAGTGGTAGGTTTTGTCTGTTTCATTCTGGTCTTAGAGCCCTGAAATTACAGGTGTGCTAAGCTGGAGAAGCTGTCTCCCTGCTGGACTGGTCAGCCTGTGCTGGGCTCCTGCCACCACTGCTGTCTTCTTACTGCCTGCTGGTGTTTTTTAAACAGTGGTGATGCTTTGCATGTGTTTTCTGTTTTCACAGTATCTTTTTCTTACTGAGGAGTGCTGTATTCTAGCATCATCTTTGAGAATTTGTAAGTCATAGAAAGATAGGACAAACTATTTTCGAGAAAACTGTAACCATCAGACAATATTGTAGTTTAAAAACACAGTTTTTTAAAAAAAAATTCTCCCCAAAGCTACATGATTCTTTTGAAATGAAGTAAATGTCTATTTCATTTCACAGTTTCCAGTTAGCACTCTGTACATTTTAGATTGAATTTTCCTGATTACTAAATCTTAATTATTTTTCACCAGACGGTCTGCCAAATCCCGAAGTAGAAGTCCGTACTCATCTAGGCATTCAAGGTCTCGTAGCAGGCACAGATTGTCTAGATCCCGGAGTCGGCATTCTAGCATTTCTCCTAGCACACTGACTCTGAAGAGTAGCCTGGCTGCAGAGTTGAACAAGAATAAAAAAGCACGTGCTGCAGAGGCTGCACGAGCTGCAGAGGCAGCGAAAGCTGCAGAAGCGGCCAAGGCTGCAGAGGCAGCTGCGAAAGCTGCAAAAGCCTCCAACACATCTACACCAACGAAGGTGAACACAGAAACTGGAGCCAGCTCATCGCAAACCAACCATGTGAAGGATGTGAAGAAAGTTAAAACTGAGCTTGCGCCTTCTCCCTCAAGTGGTGGAACTTTAAAAAATGACAAGGCAAAAACAAAGCCACCTCTTCAGGTAACAAAGGTAGACAATAACTTGGTTTTAGATAAAACCACCAAGAAAACAGCTGTAGTTGGGAAGGAGAGTAAATCTGCTGCTACAAAGGAGGAACCAGTGTCTCTCAAAGAGAAAACCAAACCACTGACACCAAGCATTGGCGCCAAGGAGAAGGAGCAACATGTGACTTTAGTGACCTCTACCTTGCCACCGTTACCTTTGCCTCCCAT